ACCATCTAATAAGTTCCCTTATGTATTTCAAACACAGGGAGAAAATTAAACAGTGTGACTTATTTTTTTTTTCATCCTTACACTGAAAAAAAGGCTCCTATTTAAAATAGATCATGCAAAAACAAATAAAAACGACAAGTCTAAAATTATTTCTTATAAGAAATATTAAAACCAGAAGACCTTTTCAATTTTTCTAAATGCGTGTAAAAAGGATTTTAGTCCATATTCTCAAGTTCCCACCATTCCTAAAATCAAAAATTTGCATTTTAAAATTAAAAGCATTCCAGATATTTTCCTAATTTTCTAAAACATCAACAAAAAATTCCCAGATTTTTAACAAGGATAGATAAATCAGAGAAGAATAGTCCAATTTAGTTTCGACAGAAAGTTTATCTCTGTGCAGCAATTCAAATATTGCACATATTTATTCAATTTTCTTTTTATTTTTAGCACTTAGTCTTTTTTCGAAATACAACTTTTCAACATCAAAGTTATCTTGCGTACCAATTTTAAAAAGTAACCCAATCAAAAACTATAAAATTTCAGCTTATTTTATTTGCAATTAAATATGTTCATTCTTGCTCTTAGCATTTGAAATTTGGTTCAATTTTGCCTTTTTGGCTGTCTTCCCTTTGCTTTACCAGTGACAACTACCCTGTTACTCCAAACGTCAATGATGAGCAAATAGTATGGGTGGCATCCAATTTAAAAATAAACAAATATCGTAATTCATTTAAATCTAAGATGATTAACTGTTAAAATTCATAATATTGAGATTGAGAGAGGCCTGAAACATGAACATTTTGTTAGAATAGTACTCACTTAAATTTTTCTGAATTCTTAAAATTAAGAATTTGATGAATTAAAAAGTTGAATTTCAACGAATTAAAAACTGCATACAGTTTTTGGAAATTGAAGAGAGAAAGTTATTTTATACTTTCCTGAGTAATTTGATGTTTTTCAGTACTTACAGGCACTAAAAGAACCTTTTCAAAGTATAGAAATTATGTTAAGCAAAGAATGACAAAATAAGAGCAAGATTAACTTAATTTTAATATTTTGTATGAAACTTCTGCTCAATTGAATAAAAAAATTAACATGTACCCATAAAATTTTTGCATATGTTTTGCAAATTTCAATCTTTTTTCCTGGTGACAACCCCAATTATAAGACTCTGGAATGCTGTGTCATATTGTTTGAAAATAAAATCTCTCCTGTTTTAACAAATATTCTGTCACTTGATAAACAAAACTAGAATATTTCATAAACTAATAGATTAGGAACTTTGAAGTTCATGCAAAGCATTGATAAATTGTACAAATCAAGACAAGTTATTCAATAGAGATGCATAACTTATATATTTTTTAAAAAGTCAAAATTATATTTACAAAGTAAAATAAAAATTTACATAGGTTTTAAATAAAAGAAAATAATAATAATGTAGGGAAAATGAAACACATTAAAATAGAGTAGATGACAAACATGAAGGTGCTAAACTGGTTATTAATTTTTATGTCTAAATGTATACTGAAATAAATAATAAAAAAAATTCACACAAAATAACATGCGTTTCTCAGAAGCATTTGTAGCATAAATTTTATAAAGCATGAATTATTCCAACTTTTACTAAACTTATGGATCCTATAAGAAATTGAATGAGGTTGTAAGAAAATTGAAGAAAAAAAAAGTGGGAAAGCAATATATATAAAAGTGGTGAATATAAATAAACATGTATTCTAAACTTAACTGTTGGCTTCCTGATTCCTCTGATGAAGCCGTTTTGCTGCATGCATTCAAATAATAACCATCATATTATTTAAAAATTAATCCTATAGTTACAGTTCACTTTAATAAAATATTGAACTCACTGAATAAATACACTACAGATGGTTCAGACAGAAAAAAATCTTAACATGTGCTTTAGCACATCAAGATTTTTAGTTTCTTTATTTTATAATGAAGCACTCGTAAAAAATAATCAATTTTCATAATAAATTTTCCTTCCTGAAATACTATTAAATGGTTAAATTTTTAGCATTATTTATATATATATATATATAAAGTAATTTGTAGAATTTTAAAGCCAATAGACATAGAAAAAAANACTTGAGCGAACGTAATCATTTTCCCATTAAATTCCCATGTTAATTTGATGAATTTAACATGACCATAATCATTTTCCCATTATCGCCTGTGTATTCAATTATCTTAAACAAATCTTAATTTTCTTTATCTTTGCACTTCAGTGAATTCTACGAATTTCTGATTGCAAGTTTTGTAATATTATTAAATAAAATAGGAATTCCAAAAATCATGTTAAAATCCATAATTATGGAATTACGATCGCAAATCACATGGATTTATGATGAAATCAATGCAAACTTGAGCGAACGTAATCATTTTCCCATTAAATTCCCATGTTAATTTGATGAATTTAACATGACCATAATCATTTTCCCATTATCGCCTGTGTATTCAATTATCTTAAACAAATCTTAATTTTCTTTATCTTTGCACTTCAGTGAATTCTACGAATTTCTGATTGCAAGTTTTGTAATATTATTAAATAAAATAGGAATTCCAAAAATCATGTTAAAATCCATAATTATGGAATTACGATCGCAAATCACATGGATTTATGATGAAATCAATGCAAACTTGAGCGAACGTAATCATTTTCCCATTAAATTCCCATGTTAATTTGATGAATTTAACATGACCATAATCATTTTCCCATTATCGCCTGTGTATTCAATTATCTTAAACAAATCTTAATTTTCTTTATCTTTGCACTTCAGTGAATTCTACGAATTTCTGATTGCAAGTTTTGTAATATTATTAAATAAAATAGGAATTCCAAAAATCATGTTAAAATCCATAATTATGGAATTACGATCGCAAATCACATGGATTTATGATGAAATCAATGCAAACTTGAGCGAACGTAATCATTTTCCCATTAAATTCCCATGTTAATTTGATGAATTTAACATGACCATAATCATTTTCCCATTATCGCCTGTGTATTCAATTATCTTAAACAAATCTTAATTTTCTTTATCTTTGCACTTCAGTGAATTCTACGAATTTCTGATTGCAAGTTTTGTAATATTATTAAATAAAATAGGAATTCCAAAAATCATGTTAAAATCCATAATTATGGAATTACGATCGCAAATCACATGGATTTATGATGAAATCAATGCAAACTTGAGCGAACGTAATCATTTTCCCATTAAATTCCCATGTTAATTTGATGAATTTAACATGACCATAATCATTTTCCCATTATCGCCTGTGTATTCAATTATCTTAAACAAATCTTAATTTTCTTTATCTTTGCACTTCAGTGAATTCTACGAATTTCTGATTGCAAGTTTTGTAATATTATTAAATAAAATAGGAATTCCAAAAATCATGTTAAAATCCATAATTATGGAATTACGATCGCAAATCACATGGATTTATGATGTAATCAATGCAAACTTGAGCGAACGTGGTAAAAAATCAGTAAGTAATTACTCATATTGTGATTTTAAAAATTATATGAAAAGCCATAAGTATAACCACTGAAAAAATATTTGAATTACAGTGCGAATTCCCAAAGTAAATTGGAAAATCTGTGTAACAAAACGTTTTAATCCAAATGTGCCATTCAAACCTCACTAGTAACATACCATATTAAAAATCGTGGGTTTACAGAAATTTTTTTACAGTTTATAAAGTTGTGAAAAAAAACTGCTACAATGTACCTTTTTATGCAAAATTGCTAATTCTCAGAATATATACATAATCAATTATAAAAACATAACACTTTGTACTTCGAAATTAGACAGATTATTATTTTGAAATTTCTTTCAAAAAACTTTATATCATTTTATTATGTAGTAATTAGTATTTCATTCATTTGTAATAAGCATTCCATATGTAAGTATCTGATTTTTATGCATGGATGTAATCAACAAAATTTCCAATTTGGCAGAAGAAAAAAAAACAGAAACAGGGGAGTTGCCAATATTTTTACTGGCTACCAACATTTTGCAACCTGAAAATAATACAATTTTTACTTTCAGAATAACTTTGGTTGCAAATGAAATTTCTAGTATAATTTAATTAATTAAGTACTCAACAGCTCATATTTTGGGATCTATCATACAATGTCTCGTTAACATGATTTTGCAAAAGTTACAAAATCAAAATTTTAGATTATCAGAAGTCTTGAGAAAAGTTTGTCGGAAAATAAACTTTTGATTCTTGAAAATCCGCATATCAACAATCTTGAGATTCGTGAAATAGCAGAAAAATCACATGCCATTCAATAATGTAGAAGGAAAAGTAGATCCTTGGGCTTGTAAGCTTGACAGTGTGACACCACGTATATCAAAAAATGAAACACTCTTGTAAAATGAATTAACATTCATTTTAAAAAAAAATTTTGTAAAAAGTCGAATTTTTGATTTTGGCACAAAAATGGCCAAAATAATATACTTTTATCAGTTTGTATCACCTTTTTTAATTCAGCAAATGTGTGGAACCGTCTCATAAATTTGTGACAAGAAACATTCAGAAGACTTTTATAAAATGATTAGTATCATTTTATTAATATTCATTCATACCAATATTTTATTTAAATATGTAATTAAGTTCAAAAATTCAGAATTCAAATAATTTTAAAATAAAGTTTCAATAACCTTGAAATGAAAACACAGTGAATATTCTGCTTGACATTTTTATAAAAAAAGTAATATGGTAGATGCTAACTGTATGATGTGCTAACAGTACACATAAATAATTACTGTAGATACGTTGAAATACTTTTTTCTTTTTTAATGAAACAGTTTAACATATACTTACAAAGGGGTATCTTATACCCAAACCTACCTAGGGTATTGTTTTTATTCTAATGCAGTTGTAAGTAAAAAATATGATTGTCAGAATGGAATGATTATGAGAACAAAAAGGGTTTTTATTTTATTTTTAAAAGATTTAAGCCTTGAAGTTAAATGGAAAAATATTTAATGAATACCAGGTCCTCCTTTCCAAAATGCTGCTCCACCTTCCTCCTTCCATATCTTCCTACATGCATCTAGGACGCCTGTGTAGGTTGTCTGTCCTTCACGTGCTGCAACCTGCAGTCGAGTCTTTATGACATCTGCCGGCGTTACTAAGTAGGCAGCTGGGACACCTTCAAGTAAAAGTTGTAATTATGTTACAGTCATTTTGATTAATATATTCTTTAAAATTTTGAAGAAAAAAAAATTATTTTTTTTGAGGCTAACATTTACTTTATGAAATTTTTTAAAATAAAATTATTGAAAAATTATTTTCCTTAGTATGATTGTAATTACTTTATCAGAATTAAGTAATTTTTTGTATAAGTTATTATTCCCTTGAATGAGTAATTTTTCTTTTTCAAATGCCTATTACTCGGAATATAATTATTGTAACTGTAAATTTTCACCTCAAATCAGAGGATCCGATTTCAAATATTCATATTAGCAATATTCAATACATTGTTTTAAGGAAAATAAAATTTCTGGACAATTTTAGATTTTCCTTGTTATCTGTGAAAATCTTAAAACTCCTTATTGATTTTAAAAACTTGATAAGCTGTGTTTACCTTTCATTAAAAGTTATTAGTTTAAATAAAAAGAAAAAAGACAGATGTCTAAGTTAAGATGTGAGTAAAAAAGATTAATTTAAGATTAAAACAAACAAAGTTCAGTTACCAGCTATGCAAGCAGATAACAGTAAAGAACCGGCTCCGTTATGGCCGTCAGCATCAGCAAATTTAAGTTTTGTATGAGCATACACCGGGAAATAGATGGCTGAGAAAGGTATGTCACGAAGGAAACATGCTCTCGCACCCTGAAATCAAAATGTCACAAAAAGAGTTTTAAAGAACAACATATTACAATAATCACAGTAATAATTTTCTTTTTACAATGTAGCAAAATGCCATTAAAAGTCATTACAAAAAATTAGATATTTACTTTTTAATTTTACCTTTTCAAATTAATTTTTAACCAATAATTATATTGACTACGAGGTAATAAATATTGACATTTAATGTTCAACAATTACCATTGAACAATACCTTTCATAGGCTTGGTAATTAGAAACGTGACATTTAACTTCTATGCAATAATAACCAGGGTATGAAATAATAAAATGAACATAATTCAAAAATAATTCCAAATTAATAAAATAATGAATAAAATAATGCAAAAAATATCAGATATAATAACTGTTTGCCATGGAAGAAAACATTCATACTAAATAGAAGTAACTGCATAAGAAAAATAAAATTACAAAAATAACAAACTATCTCTCCTTCATGTATGTATATATATATATATATATATATAT